AGCAACGGCTGCCCTTGGTTTCATCAGGAGATTTTGCTACGACATAGTCGATGTACAAACGCTCAAAACGTTGTATTACGCATTGGTTCAGTCTCATCTCGAGTACTGTAACGTCGTATGGCTACTAACTTATGCCGTACATCTCGACAAGATCGAGATTGTTTTGAGGAAATTTACTCAGTTTGCCAGAAGAGAGTATCGGACAGCGGCCAACGGATATAATATCACCGAATACCATAAGCGACTCGAGGCCCTCGATATGTCATCATTAGAAAGAAGGAGAGTAAATGCATCAATTGTATTTATTTACGATATCGTGAATGGATACGCAAACTGTCCTACTGTACGCAATGATATAGCAGTGGGTGACAGCATTCGTACCTTGCGCCACACTACCTACCTAAAGATCAAGGACAATCTGATGGACAAACAGATTAGAGCTCAAATTTCACAATTGTGCAAATACGCAAACAAAGTGGCTGATCCATTCAAAAATGCAACCAGTCGCGCAAACTTCATCACATCAGTACGAAAAGAGCACATTCCAGTTTTCAGTTTAAAGTACTGACAAATTATTTTTTTACATCCTTGGTAAATGTATAGCATTAATGAGGCAAAACTGTGATTTTTACACCAATTAATTAAAATTTAGTAACATTGACTGTGATATAGCCATCCATTGAGTTGGTGATTGTTTTTGACCTGTTATTTATAATGGAATATAGTTACTTTTGTCAATGCACGTAAAAATTAAACCAAACTAAATTGTATAAAACAAAAGATCAGGTTTTTCATGACTCTTGGAGTCATTTTCCTGCAAATCAAATTATTCAGCCAGTTTTTGGCGGTGTAAATAAATATATAAATAAATAAATAAATTGACAAAAATGAAAATTTTATTTTACTGATTTTCCCCCTCCCTTCGACGTAATTAAAACTTGCTCTATACCCCCTCCTCTCATTCTGAAAAACATACCGTTTTAAAGAATACCATTTTTCTGTGTTTTGGCTTTTTTTGTTTTTATTTTCTGTGTTTTATCCGGATACCAACAGTCTTTACAGTAGGACCCGTCGCACAAATTGTGTACTTCAGTGCTCCCAACATTTTCGAAACCATTTTCAATCTGATGATGCGGGATTGGTCGCCAACAATTACCTTTCTACCAAATTAAGTAAAATGACACCTTGACATGGTGCGGAAGTATGAACCCAACATATATATTTCGTTTAAATTCACATGTATCGAATGAACATCAAATATATATATAAAAAAAACGCAGTTAATCGTTCCGTTCGTTCAAAATAGTATATATTTATTAAATTTTATACAAATGAATCAATTGCATTAATAGATTTATTTTGAAATTACTATATTAATGGAATTAACGTTCTGAAGCATAATTTCAATGTATTCAGTCAATTCTAAACCTTTCATCTAAATAACGTTTACAACGCTTTTGGCCCCCCCTCTCTCTCTCTTCTTATTTGTAAATAAAGTAATTCCATCTATCCAGGTTTGAAAATTGAATAATATTTGGTAGTTCCTTTTACTGGTTAATCCATATAGAGGGAGTAACTTTACTTTACTTTTATTTGATTCAACTCTATATACGATCCAAAATATTGATTGGGATATTTACTGGCGTAGCATCATTCCATTTATCATAATATTAGCAAGTGCCGTTCTACGTTTGCGCCAAGCACCCGTTCCTTGAGAATGTTTTTGAAGTTGGTTATACCAGTGTTTTGTCCGGGAATCGTCTTCCGCCTAAAATCAAAAACGAAGAAAAATTACCCGAAAGAATTGAGATAGTAAAATTTTTAAGCGTAGGCCACTGAATCCACAACCACGTACAAAATTTGTTCAAATATCCCTATTGGCTTAGATGATATAACCCTTTGAAGCGGTCGGTAACATTACAAAAAAAAAACGGAAGTGACTTTGGGGGTTACTCGACATTTACGCAAAATTCAGCGAATGTAGCAACGTTTTTTTCAATTCCCAACCTTTATTTGATAGATGAAGAATCAGAGGAGAGAATAAAAGTTTAACTGTAGCAAATTATTGATTTTTCACCGTGATAAGCCTAAATGTGCGGTCGGTAACATAACACTTGCGGTTTTAGGTTTTTGAGGCATCCCGAAAAAAATTTGAATTACGGTGTAAATCTGCTATAAGAGAAATAGCATGAAAGCTCCCATGAAATTTTGTTTATGAATTTTTTCCCTATAACATCTTTGAAATCAATTCCACGCAAACATCAAAATTTTGGTCTTCAATTTCACAATATTGCAAAATTTGGTAATGTCATTATCCTAGTTTTGGCCGCCGAACACTTTCGAACGCTTGTTCGTTCGTTCGACATGGTTTTAAAAAAAGGTTTTGTTCGTTCGTCCGTTCGACAATTTAAAAAAAAATATTTTTTGTTCGTTCGTTCGTTCGACAATTTAAAAAAAAATATTTTTTTGTTCGTTCGTTCGTTCGTTCGACATTCATTTTGTTCGATGTTCGGTCTGAACAAAAAAATTTTACATTAGAAAATTCGATGTATTGATCAAATTTATAATGTAATCGTTACCGCTCATGCTTTTATTATAATTTTTCATAGTAATACCAATTTTATTCGGGCGATTTTGATATAAAAAATTTTTGGAACATGGAACAAAATGAATGTCGAACGAACGAACGAACGTCTGACGAAAACCGGAAAATGTTTGACCAACCGAATTTGACTTTAAAAAATGTAATTTGTTAACAAAAATTGAATAGAACATATGTTAAACGTTTTGTGTACTAAGAATATGATTATAGGGGAATGTGGGGAATTATGGGACATAGGGAATTATGGGACATAGGGAATTATGGGACATGGGGAATTATGGGACACTATCAATTTTTTGACACACCGCGTAGTTTAACACATGTGATTGGATGTCATCGGTTTCTCTTAGTCTAATCTCAGTTTTCCATAGTCACTCGACGCATGTGCTCGTATTGTGTGCTCTCTGCGATAACCAAATTTTTAAAACCTTTGGAAAAAATTTATTAACTGTGCGTGCCTACATTTATTTCACAACCATTTTTGAAGTATCAACGCAGGTAAATATCTTTATAATTATCGTATGGCATTGTAGTTTCACCACACAAAAGGCATTTGCATGAACATTCATTAAGTTACTCATACGCAGCCATCTTGTGATCATTAGCGTGTGGGGAATTGTGGGACACTTTTCGTGGGGGATTATGGGACACGTCATTTTTGACACTTGATGAGTTCAGAACGCATTTTCAATGCGAATACATGATTTTTCATGCATAATATCGATGAAATATCAGCAAAACATTAGGTGCTGATCTTAGCGATGCATTAAAAGCGGTTGGAAACCGCTGAAACGTGGTGAACCGGTCAAAAGTCAAATCGAGGCCCCAAGCCTATAGAATCGACCATTTTAACATCGCCAGAAGTGGTGACTACATTACGTGAGGAAGCCGATGCCAAGCGCCAAAAGTTGGAAAAACAACAGCAACGAAAAGATGCAAAGGCAACACCAGCAGAACCG